TTTAATTTTATTTAAAAATTTGTAAATACTTTTCAATTTTCCAGGCAAATTTGTCTGGAATACGGTTTAAGAGATAAAATCAGTGATTATAGAAGCTGCTTTAAGTTGTAATGCTAGTTACATTTATTAATTCATTTGATTTTGGCTAATATTTTGACTAATATTATGCTTCTTTTTGCTAACTACCCGAATCTTATGTGCTGGAATAATATGCAGGTCAATATTCTCTTTAGAATTTTTTGCTTCTGGCCTATTTTTTCTGCACTTAATTGACTCAACTTGGACATGAATTCTTGCATCACTCTTTACACATGCAAGTGGGTCATTATTAGACTTCATATTATAAAGAAAGAAAGTTAGCACTGGGATAGACTTGGCTTTTGCTATATTATATCATTTGGCCAATTTCTTAAAAGAAGTTTGAAGTTGTGAACCACTATTTTTATAATTATCCTTAATTGTTTCAAGAAATGATTCAGATTATGCCTTAATCAAACTAATTTATTTAGATAATGTTATATATATAAAAAAATAAACTTACATTTCAGTTATAGTAGTTTGGCTTATATCCATATTGACTTTGGCATTAGCCATCTCCAATTCATATGTTTTTTCGAAAACATTTTAGTATTGTTATAATTTCCACATTGACTATAATTTGTTTGAGAATGTAATGATGCATAGAAAGAATCGTCAGCTACTAAATTATATATTTAAAATTATTTATTATAGAGATTATATAAATTAACTTATTATACACCCTAATATAGCAATAATACCAACAACTATATTGAATATAGCTTCAGATTATTAAAGGATATTATATTTGTACGTACACAGGCATACATCATTCAGGTATTTCAATTTATCATTACTAATATGGAACAGTACTATGAGCGTTGTTTGCTAGAAATAGCATATAGTCATTCTGGCCATCTTTAAATTGCTAGAAGGTTTTTGTGCCCTGGTTGGAATGCAATTAATGCTACAAAAATTCAACAAACTGAGTTAACTATGAAATTTTTAGTTTTTAGCCAGAAAAAAGGTACTGACTTATTTTATATAGTTAATACTGAATTCTGTATATGGGGGGCCCCACAGCAAAAGGTGGCTATGGGCAAAAAAAATTTTTTTTGTAAAAACTTTATTTTTGCAAAAAT